GACTACCTTAGGTACTAGAAAGTCAATTTTATTGTCATCCTTTTCAGTAAGTTGCATCCTCCATTGCAACTACCATTTACCAAGTGGAGATATGACGCAAAATATGACGCCTTACGCGACGGTCACAACCCGCCGTGCGTGCTTTTTGTCCGTAAGTATTTTGGGAGGCTACGTCTTCTACGTTTTTTTCTGAAAACGTGGAGAAGGAGTGCCGTCTACGCACGTCACTCGCACGGTTTCGCAAGGTGTAAGAGTGGTCTGCACGCCAAGTCTGGCCGTGAGCGGTTGCGTGCATCGTACGTTGCGCAAGTGGTAAGTGAATTGCACGTGCTTACAAAGTACGATCTCTGTGCGATTGCAAATTTACCGTAACGAGGGCGTACTCACACGTGCCTCTTCCGTACGGCACGTACGGAGCACGCGCGTCGCTCGTACTTGCACGCACGGGTGGTGAATCCGTAGACCGCACGCAGAAAAAGTTTTACATGCACTTAAAGTTCTACGGCGTGTCTGCGTGGTTCCAAATCCGTAGGATTCCGTACGGAGGCGGTACTCACGCACGGATGCCCTGTGTTTACCAACGTTTTTGCACGTAGATAGCACGCAGAAGCACGTGCGGCGGGTTGTGACCGTAGCTTTACGAATGCGTTAAAAAGTCTGACACACAGCTGTCAGACATGTTTGTTTATATATAGACATAACAAGGAAAATTGTAGATTTTGTACCTCCGGGTATTGTAATGTATGTTGCAGAATGTTGGGTGCATGTTGGGACTGTTCTTTAAATTAGTGAATGGTGTCTAGGTGTGTGTGTGTTCACGCGAATACCATTTTTTCGAAAAGTTTCGAGATGTTTGTAATTTGCTAAATGATCTGTGAAATCTCTAATCCCGACTGCAGCCCAAACATAGAAAGGACAGGGGGCATCCCGTGGCGAATCTTGCTGCCCGACCCTCAGCGACCAGCGATAATGTAAACAAGCACCTACACAAACGGCCGCGTGAGAAATCAACTCCAGTGCGCGGAACTTGCTCTCGAAAATTTATCAAGCCGCTCCGCTTCCCCCCGCGGCTGCCATCCCTCCCCACTTTAATAATATCCCACACTAGTTCAAATCACGTCAAAAAAAACCATCAAAACATGCACAGAAGCGTGTTCATATCTTTCATGTTACGGTTGATACTTAGAACCTCATTTTGAGCGAACGTTACAAACACGAGACAAAATAATATTTTCGAAAACAAATCGCAATCAGCAAGGTTTCATTGATTCCTGTTAGATTTAACCGGTACCAAACCGCGGCAGGCAGCTAAGAACAGCGACATATTTGCCACGGTTAGCACCAGTGGCGGTGATATATTTGGTAGACATGATGGTTTGTTAGATTTGACCGGTTCCGGCCGACAGTCGGCGCTTTCGTATACATGTACTAGTACTACAGATGCTCACGAGTTACAGAATGGTGAGAGTGTTTCTCATATCCAGGTCGTGCCGCCATGTGTTTGTTTAGATATCAGTGTGAAGAGCAGCCCTGTTTCCGACACGGCCGGCCTGCCGGCGTTTCCGGGGCAGTGTTCATTGTTTCCAGATGTAGCAGCGAGAGCGCCTCGCTCAGTGTCCAGCATAGTTGACCAGCGTATTGCAGAGACCTTGTGTGATGATTGTCATTTCTCGTTGTCATGTTTTCACTCCGGTGCTGTCATGAACGACGTTTCAGCGCCAGGTGATAGGGATTGTACATTACCTAACGTAGATTGTGTACACCGTTTCGGGACAATTTCTATGCGCACTTTTTGATGTTCGAGCCAGATAAAAATAACCCGCGGTACCCGGAAGTCAGCGTACCGAGCTGGATTTTCATGGGTCCCGTCTACCCCAACGCGAGACACAACTGCGATAATATTTCTTTCCTCGATACCTGACACCCCCTCTTACCAGATGTGGACGACGCCTGCGACACTTAATACACGCCGAAATTCAAAAGACAAAACCACTTTCACACACAAGGGGTGTCCATACACTCTCAAAACGCATAATTTTCACACACTAAAACACACATACTAAAAAACCAAAACAACGTGCACCATCTACAGCCCAATAGCAAAACGTATACCAAGTCCCAGACATATCCGTCCACCCAAACGCGAGAAATGGCTGCGAACGTAAAAGGCATCTTCCCCCACAAAACCTCCGCGCACGGGGATACATCCCTACCCGGAGGTAACTACAGTTTTAGACAAGTACCTTGAGTCATTATGTAGATTTTGTAGATTTGAAGTTATTTTGTACCCTGTTTCAACGTTCTTTTATCTTTGTTATTTGAAATTAGCCTTTGGGCAGGAAATTGCAATAGACTTTTTACTATATCCTGAACTAAGTGCGCCAAGTGTGGACTGCATTAGCGCCAGCCATAAATGTCAGAAATCTAATATAATTGCACAGATATGTTGAAAACTACAGGTGAATTACAATCACACGAAGATTTTTCAATAGAAATATTACAATTTTTGGTCCAAAGTGTTACATAATGCCCCTTTAATGATCACAGCTGTCACATATGCAACGTGTTAAGTTCACACTAGAGCGTTTTCACATGACGTCATAGAAGCACAAAGATAGTAGCGAACGATTTGATTCTTGCATCTTCATGAATCATAGCTAGCTCAAATGTTTTCGGACATCTAGAGATCTTCAGATCTTCTGACCCTTTCCAGCGAGCTTTATATATGTATAGCTTTCATACCAGATGAAAACATGAAAAGGGAACTTGTCAAAAACTTTTTAAAACCGTCTTTTGCACGTTTAAAACCGTCTTTACGGTCTTAACCCTATCTAGACCGAGGGGAGGGGGGGGCTAAAAGTGCTCGCGCCAACTTTGATGTCACGTAGCGTCTGAAGGGATAGTGCTAGAACGGCCAAATTTGGTGACTTTTCCTAGAATATTGTTGGCAACAATCCTCTATCATTGGAATAAGATAATAATTTTTGTGTTGCCATGGCGACGGGTTTCTGGCAGGCATTTTTTGGTAAATTTAGTAATTTTCGATTCAACAATAGAATTTTATGGGTTTTATGTCAAGTTACACATGGTTTCTAATAGTGATAACATTCCAGATAATTTTATGTAAATTTTGTAATTAAAAATGCAAAATTTATGCTAATTTGATGATGTCATTAACCAAAATCCAAGATGGCGGACCATATTAGGTATATACAGGTATATACAGGTTATTTTCCTTCAAAATTCACCAAAACTTCCATTTCTTTTTACAAAAAAAGTTCATATGAACGTCTTTAGCCTGTTTAGAATGTATTTTATGCTTTATCCTGAAAAAAAAACTATTTTTAAAATTCAAGATTGATGATCCAAAATGGCGGATAGCTTAAATATGCATGACGTCATTTTATGACGTCACCGGTGTTGCTATGGGCAACACAAGACAGTACACCCTAATATTCTGTCATAAACACTTTTGGTAAAGTTATGTTGTATACCATTTAGTTTTCAGGGAATAACCTATCTAGACGGTTTTGGCCAATAAAATCACATTAATGACGTCATAATGACGACATATTACGTCATAATGACAAAAATTGTAGATATAATAAATTTTTACTAGCACACCATCCTCTGAAAATTTGGTGGTCATATGACATACCGTTCGTTCTCGAGTTCTGATGTCGGGGGGGGGTGAAATCGACCCCGTCCCCCCCCCCCGTGTACACTATATGAACATCCAGTAGTATTTCTAGCGGGGACCAATCATAGGGCTGCTGACGCGTCACCGACTAGCGGCTATTAGCACCTTGTTTCATGTAAATGCCATGAACTCAACCAGAGCGCGTATATTGTTTCTTGTTTACTTCAGTACTAAGTACTAGTACTTCCACAATCAGTTAGTAAAGTCATACCTTAGTAAAATCTACTTTGATTAACGAATCAAAACGGGACTGTAGACATTAAGTTTTACACATTCAAATGTGGCTGCACTAGCGCTAATGGAGCGACCACTACGTACGGGAAGGAACGGATCTTAGCGAAGCCGAGATTTGTGAAGCAAACCCAACCCATCGAAGACGGGCCGCCAAACATAAAAATGGAGGGAAATGACAGACAACAAGCCAACAAAGACAAAATCACCAGACCAACAAACTTGGAAAACACCACTTCAAGCGCTAACGTTGTAAGAACTGTGGAACCTCAAACTAGTATGTTTGCGTCAGCGGAAAGGCTGTCGAAGTAACCACTACATGAAAAACTGCGGCGAAAAAGTAACATGGGTTCGTCCCAAATCTAGACGCAAGTGAGCTACAAAAGTAATAGAACCTATGCATCTTGCTTGTTGCTGTCAACTTACCCGTTAAAGATTGAACCGATACATGTACGTACTATAACTTGCCATACCCGGCCAAAGACGACTACATTACAGTTACTCTTTATTTTGTGCTGTATAATGTATATGCGTTACATTATCTGTCATTGTCATTTCTGTGAATTCCTTAAAACATCTACTGTTAGTTTGTGTAACATTACGTAGTGCTACAATCTGCGTAAAAAGTGGGCTTCATTACGTGTTATCTGCTAAGTCGTGTTGGTATTGAAAACTGTTTTATTCTGCCGTTCTTCTACAAACAGCCAGCAGAATTATGAAGATACTCGTTCTCAATACACATGCTGCAAACTAAAGTAATGGCAGTCCTACGAAAATTCTGTTTGTAATGTATAAGCGCTTTATGTCGACGTACAATGGGTGTGAAATACATGTTTTCGCCCATCGTGTGCCACCGGCACGGTGGTAATTGGCTACTTTACAAGTGAAAGAACCGCGTCCGTGGGCCTTGATAAATTATTCAAATTATTCAGCAGCCCTCTGATTGGTCCCCGCTAGAAATTTACTGGATGTCATTCAGTGACGAGCCCCCCCCCCCGTCCCACCAAACCAAAAAAAGCCTGGTCTAGATAGGGTTAGCTTATCCGCTCATCTAACACCATTGTCCAGTCTGTACTTCAGTCGAATGCCTTCTATCGCAACTCATACTTCACGAAATTCTGGGAATGTCTGTATATAAATGATTTTGTATGTGTTTACTAAATTTTGTTCCTTTACTGTCTATGGGCAAGTGAGAGCCTGAATCAAATAAAAAACAAACGACATTTACGCTTGATATATTCAAGAACTGCAAAACAAGGAAATCAACATGGCGGTTAGCAGTTACTACAGTAAAGTAAAACGCTGTACGTGGGCAAGACAGTTCACTGTTTGAAAACAAAAACTCTATCCTTGTTTGTTTCAGGTGCTGAACGCCTTGTTCTCTCTCCTCATTCGGCCGGAAGAGGACAACGCCTTTGACCACGATGTTCTCAACAACTATCACCACTATAAACAGTCGTACAATTCTAAAGCTCGTAATAGTGCTGATAAGGCCAAGTAAAAGTAAGGATCAGTCTGTGGGTTGAATAGCCTGTAAAACCTTTACACAGACCCAAGTATCATATTCACATTTTTCTTGGTTTCGTCACCTTTATGCGTTAGGCCACACAGCAAGGAATTTCTATGGATGACATCAGCGAGCGCATTAATTTTCGCCTGATTTTGAAAAATAAAAAGAATTGTTTTGCCTTCTGATAGTGGTCAACATGCCGAAAATGGGCAAAGATGTCTATTGCCATGCCGGAACGTGGATGGCAGATAAATATGAAGAGGGGAGACAAGACAAGGCTCTGATTTAATGTTTTGTCTTTTACTTTGATGCAGTGATGTATTTCATTCATTTTATATATGTGATGGCGGCTGTGTATACATGTATGTGATGTTCCCACTAAACCAAAATCATGTACAATGATTGAACTTTTATTTTCAAGGTTGTTTCAGTGAGAAATGGATGTTGTAATAGTAGGCACTGAACATAACACAATATAGTTATCAGTTCTTGTTTAACAAGGTTTATGATGTCAACATTTGAAAATGTACGAAACTTTTTGGGGGGCCGCCTTGTTTTGTTTTCCCTCTCGCATATTAGATTAGGAGTCTGCGGAGGATGTTATCTATAAAATAACATTAATTTGTTGTTAATAGCACATAAATATTCAATTGTGTCCCCTTTGGGAAAAAAACATTTAATTCAAGGGAATGTAATGATATGTCCATCCAACATTAATATGGATAGGCTTTGCAATGTCGTAGACGTCCATGATAGTTCACTATCATATTTATCATATGTTGGATACACGCAATCCACAATAAATTAGCAGGAATATAAGCAACGTTTCCTTGTTACGTGAATGAAAAACGCTGTATACTAAAGATTGGCTGTTACAAATGACAAGAACAAGATGGTGGTGTTTTGAAAGTACAATGCAATTGTACAGTGCAATTTTACGGAATATAGTGCAATCATATTAGTATACAATGCAATTTCACGGAACACAGTGCAATTTTGCACTGCATTGTATACTAGTACAATTGCACTGCATTCCGTAAATTGCACTGTATACTCTGGCACCCCTGACATTTATACAAATCTAACGCTAACTCAAGTGTACAATCACTTCCCTATGTTAGTAATTGATTATGCACATCGTCTAATTTGAAATTATCAAAATACCGATAAAAATAACAAGAAAACAATTTAGTACTGCTAACCCAACCAAACAGCAACGTTAAGAAAAGTAACTATAAGAACAATGCCGTAAATGCTGTACAGCATAGTAAGACTAATTACAGAGAAAAACAAAGGTTTTACTTTTAGCTTTGATGCATGTTAGTTAACTTTTCACAATACTATATTTTGTAATAAAATTTATGTCAACTAGCAAGGAAAAAATAGTTAATTGCAACATGATGAAAATTACTAAACAAAAATAAACAGTACATCGTTTGAACGTCAATTTTACAGTTGGATCTCTCGTACTTCTTTGAACCTAGACTAAAGACATCGTGTGATGACTTGATACTCTTTGAGTGAACTCCCTATATATACTAGTACTTCCTCACTTCAATAGTGTTTTTGCAAATGTTATCACTAAGCTTGGAGATTTTCATTTTTTAGCATTTGCTGCATGTTAGTCAACTTCTGTCAAAACTATTTTATAGTGGCTTTAAAGTAAATAACTATATATATATATATATATATATATATATATATATATATATATATATATAATATAAATGTAAACTAAGAAGGAAAAGATTTAACATGCTAAAAATGACTACACAAAAAAACAGTACATCCTTGGAACATAAATTTTCCAGTTGGATCTCTCATACTTCATTCTACCAAGACTAAGGACACCGTGTGATGACTTGATAGTCCTCTACTGAACTCCGTATATACTTTCTTACTTCCATGCAGTGTTTATGCCAATGAGGTTTTCAAATAGCGTGCCACAGCACTCACTCCTGTAGGGTTCCTTCTTTGTGAGTTTGCTTGTGCTTCTTTAGATTCCCTGCCTCACTAAACTGCCTGCTGCACTCCTCACACCTGTAGGGTTC